TGATGTGGAGATCGAAGGTGTGGTCACCGAAGCGAGTCTGACCCCCGAGATCTTGGAGAAGCAGGCGGTTGGCCGTTTCAAGAACCGTTTGCTTCCTCCGGTGAAGATACTGGATGTCCAAAAACTGGGCTCAGTATCTGTCAGCGAGGGTAAAAAGAGTTTTACCCCCACAGACTCGTTCCGTGTGACCTTTTCTGGTTCAGCCCTTCCTCACTACATCGAGCTGGGAAAACTTCGACTACCTGTGCGTTTGTTCGTTCCCCGGGTCATGAACTGCCAAAACTGTAAGCAGTTGGGACATACGGCCTCCCACTGTGGCAGCAAGGCACGCTGTCCCAAATGCGGAGAGAAGCATGGGGATGACACCTGTGCAGCTACCGCACCAAAATGCGTGTACTGTAAGGGAACTCCTCATGGTATCTCGTCATGCCCGGTGTACAAACAACGCGGGGAGAAATTACAACGCTCACTTAAGGAACGTTCCCGGCAGTCTTTTGCAGAAATGCTGAAGACGGCCACGCCATCGACCAACGACAAAAATCCCTTTTCTCTTTTGTCAGATGACGAGACTGACTCTGACTTGGCTGAGGAGGGAACTTCTTTCTGTTTTTCAGCACGGAAACGAAAACGCATCCGTTCGCGGAAAGTTGAGAATGAAGAACCCCAAATCAGCTTGCCCAAATCAAGGAGTGGTGGAAAAAAGGAAGTTTCTACTCCTCCTGGATTCAGAAGAACTGACTATACCCAGGATTTTCCACCCTTCCCGGGGACATCCAAAACCCCTGATGTCCCATTTTTAAGAACAGAAGCCCCTTCTTCATCTGGGTTGTTCTCATTTGATAAAATTGTGGACGATATTCTCAAGTACCTGAATATTTCTGATCCTCTCAAAAGCATTGTTCTGGCAATGCTTCCTACTGTGAAGACCCTCTTGAAGCAATTGACATTGAAGTGGCCCCTCATTGCAGCAATCATTTCCTTCGATGGATAATTTTCCAAACGAGGTCGGGGATTTGATCACTATTCTACAGTGGAATTGTCGAAGTCTTATTCCTAAATTAGACTCTTTTAAGTTTTTAGTTCACAATAATCATTGTGATGCATTTGCTCTTTGTGAAACTTGGCTCTCTTCAGATATAGATCTTCCTTTTTATGATTTTAACATTATTCGACTGGATCGTGAGGATTCGCGTGGAGGAGGGGTACTTTTGGGGATCAAAAAGTGCCATTCTTTCTATAGAGTGAATCTTCCACAATTTACAGGTATTGAAGTTGTCGCATGTCAGGCTATTTTTAAAGGTAAGAGCCTTTGTATTGCTTCTGTTTATATTCCTCCTAGAGCCGTTGTTAATCGAAAACAACTTTCAGATATATGTTCGGTACTTCCTGCTCCACGGTTGATCATGGGAGATTTCAATTCCCACGGTACAGGCTGGGGGGAACTGTATGATGACAACCGTTCTACTTTTATATATGACCTCTGTGATAACTTCAATATGACAATACTTAACAATGGAGAAGTAACACGTTTGGCTGGTCCATCTTCGAATGGAAGTAAATTAGACCTCACACTTTGCTCTAACTCATTATCGTTGGATTGCACGTGGAATGTGATCCAAGATCCCCACGGTAGTGATCACTTGCCGATCAAAATTTCGATAGCCAGTGGGTTCAATCCGTCGGAACCCGTTAACGTCGCGTACGACCTCACCCGTAATATCGATTGGACAACGTTCAAGACCGCGATAGAGGAAGCCGTGTCGTCGGTAGAAGGGCTTCCACCGATGGAGGAATATAACTTCCTCTCCAATCTGATCTTGGACAGCGCGCTTCGAGCTCAAACTCGGCCGGTTCCTGGAACGTCTTTCCGTAGGAAACCTCCTTCCCCTTGGTGGGACCACCAATGCACTGAGGTTTATCGTAAAAAGTCCGACGCGTTTAAGCTTTTCCGGAAACGTGGAACACCCGGGTATTTCGAAGCGTACTCGGCTCTTGAACGCGAACTCAAGAGCCTCATCAAAGCCAAGAAACGCGGATACTGGCGGCAATTCGTGGACGGATTATCGCGCGAAACGTCGATGAATACGCTTTGGAACGCGGCGCGAAGGATGCGTAACCGGTCTTCGAACAACGAGAGCGAGGAGTACTCAGATCGTTGGATTCTCAAGTTCGCGCGAAAAGTATGTCCTGATTCCGTGCCGGCACAGATGATTCCTCGCGAAACGACGAATTCTGTAGACGAGATCAGCCAGCCTTTTTCAATGCTGGAACTCTCACTCGCGCTCCTTTCGTGCGGCAATTCGGCTCCGGGGGCTGATAGAATCAAGTTCAACTTGTTGAAGAACCTCCCAGACGTCGCTAAGAGGCGCATGTTGAACTTGTTTTGTCAGTTCCTGGAGCTCAATATTGTTCCGGATGATTGGAGGCAAGTGAGAGTTATAGCCATTAAAAAGCCTGGAAAACCCGCTTCAGATCATAACTCGTATCGTCCCATCGCGATGTTATCGTGCATTCGAAAATTGTTGGAGAAAATGATCCTTTTTCGCTTGGACAAATGGGTTGAGACGAACCACCTACTCTCAGATACTCAATTTGGATTCCGTAGGGGCAAGGGAACGAACGACTGTCTCGCGTTGCTTTCCACAGAAATTCAGTTGGCTTTTGCTAAAAAAGAGCAAATGGCTTCTGTATTCTTGGATATCAAGGGGGCTTTTGATTCAGTATCCGTTGAAGTCCTTTCAGACAAACTCCACGCTTGTGGCCTTTCTCCATTAATAAATAACTTTTTGTACAATTTGCTGTCAGAGAAACATATGAGCTTTTCTCATGGAAACTCTACAGCTTCTCGATTTAGTTACATGGGTCTCCCCCAGGGCTCATGTTTAAGCCCCCTTTTGTATAATTTCTACGTCAGAGAAATTGACAATTGTCTAAGTGACAACTGCACGTTGAGACAACTTGCAGATGACGGCGTAGTGTCTATGACAGGGCCCAAAGGGGTCGACCTGCAAGGACCCTTACAGGATACCTTAGACAATTTGTCTACTTGGGCTATTCAGCTAGGTATCGAATTCTCCACGGAGAAAACTGAGTTGGTCGTTTTTTCTAGGAAGCATAGCCCAGCACAACCAAAGCTTCAACTTTTGGGTAAACCGATCACTCATTCTATGTCCTTCAAATATCTTGGGGTCTGGTTCGATTCAAAATGCACCTGGAGATCCCACATAGAGTATCTGAGACGAAAATGCCAACAAAGGATCAATTTTCTCCGAACAATTACCGGAACGTGGTGGGGAGCCCATCCGCAAGATCTTCTAACGTTGTACCGGACAACGATTTTATCGGTTTTAGAATACGGTAGTTTTTGTTTCCAGTCGGCGGCTAAAACTCACATCATCAAACTGGAACGTATCCAGTATCGTTGTCTTCGTATCGCGTTAGGATGCATGCACTCGACTCATACGATGAGTCTCGAAGTGTTGGCGGGCATGTTGCCACTATCGGATCGGTTCTCGGAATTGTCCCTCAGGCTCCTCACCCGTTGCGAAGTTATGAACCCACTGGTAATCGAAAACTTTGAAAAGCTTCTTGAGCTGAACCCTCAAACTCGTTTTATGTCATTGTACTACGTGTACATAACACAGGATGTCAGCCCTTCACAGCATAATCCTCATCGTGTATGCTTCTCCGACTTCGGCAATTCAGTTAGTTTTGATTTATCTATGACGCGGGAGATTCATGGGATCCCAGAACATCATCGTTCCATGATTGTTCCGTCAATTTACGCTGCAAAGTTTGGCCAAGTTGATTCCGCAAGATCGTTCTTCACAGATGGATCACTAATAGAGTCGTCCGCTGGTTTTGGTATTTTTAACGAATTTCATAGCGCCTCTCGAATGCTTCAAGCTCCTTGTTCCGTATATGTTGCTGAGCTGGCGGCAATACATTATACGCTAGAAACGATCGCCTCACTTGCACCAGATCATTATTTTATTTTTACGGATAGTCTCAGCTCTGTCGAGGCTATTCGCTCTATGAGGCCGGTAAAGCACTCCTCGTATTTTCTCATGAAAATACGAGAGCTTTTAAGTGCTTTATCTTTAAGATCTTTTGTCATCACCTTTGCATGGGTCCCATCTCATTGCTCGATTCCGGGCAATGAGATGGCTGACTCACTTGCTAAGGTGGGCGCTATGGAAGGCGATATTTACGATCGACAAATCGCCTACGATGAATTTTTCTTCATTTATCGTCAACAGTCACTCGTCAGCTGGCAGAATAAGTGGAGTGAAGGGAGTTTGGGACGATGGCTATATTCGATCATCCCTAAGGTGTCGAAGAGTTGTTGGTTCAAGGGGTTGGATGTGGGTCGAGACTTCATTCGTATGATGTCTCGCCTCATGTCCAATCACTATTCGTTAAACGCTCACTTGTTCCGTGTTGGGCTGAAGGACAGCAATCTCTGTGAATGTGGACAAGGTTACCAGGACGCTGATCACATCCTTTGGTCTTGTGTGGAGTATCGTGGAGTCAGATCACATTTTTATGATTCCCTTCGGGCTCGAGGTAGACAACCTAATGTTCCAGTTCGGGATATTTTGGCTAGACGCGATCTGGAGTTTATGAAACTCATATATGTTTACTTTAAGAATATTAACATTAGATTGTAAGTTTTATTAACCTTGTGTTTAGTTTGTATTTTGTACGTGTGGGTTTTTTTTATGTTTGTTTTCAAGATGAATAGAAATTAGTTCATGTTTTAGGATTAATTAAATATTTGTATCGTAAACCACATTTCAAACCTCCCTTTCCCTTTTCCCATCCAAAAAAAATGTAAATCCCCACTAACCTCGAGACAACCGCGAGTATCCGGTCCAGCTCCTTTAACTTTAAATATAAGAAATCAATAATGTATAACAAAAATGATAACTCGGCTCTGTAAAGTTTATTCGATTGAGCCTGTACAAATAAAGTAATTAATTAAAAAAAAAAAAATTAAAAAAAATACGATTTTGAAACATTACGGAATCAGGTTGATTGGTATCCTGTTTAGAATTAAATCAATAAATTACCTTTTCTTTTCTGTTATTGCTGCCGCTATGCCGCTTTACATATGAATTTGTTATGGACATGTATTTATTACCAATTCGGACGGTAGGTATTTCCAGTACCTCAGCAATGAAGTCAGGATAAGAAGTACCACAATGAAGCAACTTTGAAAATTTACTTAAGAAAATAATTCGATGGAATCGTCTATTTATAGTAGCCGAAAGTTTAAATTGGAGTTTGCTTTGCAATGAAGCTCACTGAAAAATACTCCTCTCTCGCAGATGGAATCTGGATCTTATGTCATTTTTTTCTGCTCTTCTGGCATTTTTTTTTGTCATTGTTATATCTTCAATGTTGTCCCAGTTATTATTTTCGTTGTAAGTTTTCTACTAATTGCATGACTATGCAGCTGTTTAAAATCGCGATGCATATTTCTTCCTACAAAATTGCTGCTTTTATTTGTATAAAGCTTGCTAACCTATTCTCTTAATCCGTAGCATCGTTGCTTCTCGTATAGTATTGAGTTTGATTTTTCTAAAAGAATTTGACAATTTAATTGGTTAAAATTGTAACCCAGTTCTATAAATTTTCTCGCAATAAGGTTTGAATAATAAAATATACTACCTACGGTGCAGGTACATGGCTGTCTGTGACATATTTTACCCACCGTTCTGACGTGCCTACTATAAGCGTGTGCCGTTCTGTAATTTCAAATCCATCGCTAATTAAGAAAGCTAAATCACATGAAAATTTCTGGGGCATTAAATTTAACCTAGATATCTCAAGCACCAATACTATCTCCCGATCTGTTTGCTGCTACACTATTTTTTTTTCGATTCCTAACCTTCAATAACTTCCATAAAAGCTCATAAGAATTATTCTTTCATATCATGGAGAAGATTGTGGATTGTAAATTAATGTATTCTCTTCTTCCACCTGTGTACCTTCTGACTAGTGTTCGGAAAATTTGATCATGTTTTTTTTTCGTATTACTATAAAAAGAATTATTGCAAAACTTGCGATGAGGTTGGAAAAAGAAATTTGGACAAAATGAATGCGTGTTTCGTTGCAATTGTGTTGCTATTAAGCAGTCATGTAGGTTTCAAACAGTGGAGATATTATTTTAAACCATAGCATGTTATTTATTTCAGCGAGCAGCTATTCAATTATTATCAATCACTAGCTATTTACGGGGCTACCTTGCCTTCGTGTAATGTTTTTGCATTCCCTTCTCTGTCAGTAGAAAAATATATTGATCTTTGATCTTTTCGCATGAATGCACTCTAACCTGCGGGTTTATTAATTACAAAACAAATTTATAAAAATAATTCTAACTATATCACCATGTCACAGGACAATGACTTACAATTAATCAATAGAATCTACGTAACTACCAACAATGTGTTGTGTGTTTGGACGAATTGAGAGATGATTTCTTAGAGAGAGCGGTTCCGTTTCTTTTCATGTTCTAAGATAGTGAACATATATCGGGAAGGATGCAGTCTTCCCTGATAGGATATTTATGAGTACAGGGATATCTGAGGTGAGTGCGACAAAAACAAAACGCATGCAAGTTGTTTGATGTTTTGCAAATGCTCCTACTTGTTACAAATCGCAGTTCTGAAATTCTCTGTGGACTAACAGCTATTAATTTTTAGGAGCATGTAGATCATAGACTAAAAAGATTATTTACACGGGGGTGTATTGGTAGCGTCTAGGTATTATTATTTCCACTATCTAACAATGTAATTAGTTTTGTTTCGGTATCCGGGCGTGTTTGGTTTGATCAAGTTAGTTTCCTATGTCGGGCATTGCAGTTGGCTCATAACACTCTCGTAACTAGATTTTAGAATATTTTTCTCGAGGAATCTGTTTTTTTCATTCGTTAGCTTTAACATTAAGCAATCAATGAATCGGTGCTAACGGTTCGTTGGTGGAAATAATAAATTAATTATGTTAAACCAATAGTGTAAAAGCTTTCAATTATTTGACTAGATAAAAAAAATAACAATGCATTATACTTGTAATTACTGGATTAGTAAAACCCTGCCTGGATTTTTTTTTATCAAGCTCAGTATAAATAACTAAATTGCATTTTAAGTAATTATTTTTATCTTTCTTAGATCACCTTATATCACCTATAGACACTAAACAAATCTCTTCTAGATAAGCAATATTCTTGATTAAAACTCGAAGTTTTTAAATATTGGTGATTCGTTTTCTCAAACAAACTTGTATCAGAGTATTGCAAAAGTGTAAATAAGCAGGGAAAATGTATGTTTTCCACCACTTTCAAGTTAATTTGAAGAACCGAAACATAATCGATCGGTGTTTTTCAACGTAACTTGGGCAAACATTCCAAACCGCAACTGCTCTTCAATTTAACTTTTAATTGTGGTTGTCAACTATCAATATCTTGAAAACACCTTTGCAATTGATTGATAAGACTATTTTTGTAAAACTGAAAGTTTCAGAATTTGTTTTCGAGAAAAATAGGTGCCTTGCTGAAGTTTTACTGACCATTCAGCAACTGGAATTTGGGTATAAGTTTACAGAAGTCAGTGTTATTTTTTGAGTGTGTATCTAAACATTTTCAATTGATACTGCCATCTAGATCCAAGAAAAATCCTCAAACTACTGAGCCTTACAAAAAGAGTCTAGATTTATATGTTTCGCTTGAGAACTAGTTTACATTACACCTCTTGGAGAAATATTTGGTTTGGATTGAAAAATATGATAATCTACCTAACTACAAGTAACTTTTCTTAACGTGCTGAATCCCTCAGGATCCGACCTCAGACAGGTGTCATAGAACCTTTCCATGATGAAGGTTCTCCGATTCTCAAGTGTCTGAAAACTAGCCGAGGATGCAGAGGACTGTTTAGGATAATCCTAAAGATCTTGTTCTTGATCCTTTGAAGCTTAAGGTGGTTACAGTTAGTACTCTCCCGGATTGGTATACCTACCTCTTACAAATTTGTATCTTCAGCAAAGTTGCTTACAATGAATTGATCTACAAGTAAAGTATTGGACTGGTCTATGTCAAATTGAGTTATTTGATGTTGATATTTTGAACTCACTAACCATAGGGACCACCCTAATTCACATATGTACATCAAAACATTTGCCAAACAAATATATATAAACTTTCCCGAAGGCACCATAAAATTAAAACTAACGGTTTAAGCAACCGGTCAGCACTAGGGTTTTTTAAAAGTTACCTTGGGAACGTAAATTGTGATTAGCCCCGGTCCCTTTCAAATTGTCTCATTATTTATGAACGGCCTTTATATTTGAAAAGAGCTTTTAACATTTATCTAGTGATGTCTGATTTTTATTCGAATAATCGATAAATCGATTAACCAAAAAGTAAAATATTTGTAATCAATTATATCATGCTGATATAACCATTAACGATCATCACCTATCGTTTCAAAGATGTTCTGCACTGTCATTGGTAGAAAAATTACAGTACAGCGAACAAAACGTTTTTTGTACTATGCTACTGACACCAGGCAGCTCCTACACCTGGACCCTACCTATCGACCCATCAACTCATGGACAGGGGACCAACGGCTTTACTTCCCTTCAGAAGGAAGGTGTGATCAGCGATTTAATGCCTCAGAAAATCCCGGCGCCGCCGACTGGGATTGAGCCCAGGCCTTTTGGGGTGAGAGGCGCGAACAAAACATAATCGATTAGTTGTTAATCGAGTCTTCTTTGGTTTAAGCGCAAACATTTGTGTCTAAATACGGCTTTAGGACCATTGTGCATGAGATTCCACGACATGCACCAAGCAAAGGAGACGGAGATATCACTATAGAATAGATCAATGTGAGTGATTATGACCCGGACAAAGGGAACATTTTTTATCTATTGTTATCCATTCTTCGTTTCAGCGATGCTAGTTTTAAGGAATTTTCGGTGAACGCTTAAGAGGCATTTCTCCCCAAATATCATCGTTAAGAGCTTGAAAAAGGTGCTGGCATTAAGTTAATGGTAATCCATTCACGTGTGTGGCTTCAATAATTTATCATGGCGTATTATTTTTAACCGCGATTGGATTTAATTTTTGATGTTATTAACTAACCAATGATCGTTTTCAAATTGAATGAAAATCACCGCCGGTAGTGAACTTTTGAGCCTACCGTGAGCAAGGAATCATAAATATCTCCAAATGACAAAATGACAAGTGATCAACGAGCCGAGCGGTATCGCTTTGTCAGAATTGGAAAGCAATAATGATATAATCTTCTTCCTTTTTTCATGACAAACAGCCATTTCAATATAGCTCGCTCAGATCGGTAGAAGGGAACGACCAACACGAAGTAAAGTCGAAGAAGATACACGTGTGCTAATGGGATTTTTTTTACTATCTCTTTTCTTGGCAACAAACCAGGCAAGCAATATATCATTATCCTTTTACAGCTCCGATCAAGCTATATTACAGAGAGAGTTTATCGTGGTGGTAGTAGCAAGCGTTTTGTCTTTATCGTTGGTTGCTTTATGTGTTTGGATTCGCTGACCGTGGGATATATACGCGTGGATAAGGAAACTAATTGAATGGTGCGGCGTTTTCCCATTTTTCCAAATTGTCTTGCCAAAATTGTTCTCTCGTTGTTGGCAGTAAGTACAAAATCAACCATTAAAATATTAATTTTCATTTCAAATTTTGAAATAATCATAGAAATCATACAATGGAGCAAAGTTTCATAACGAAGACCGAAGGTAATCTTATATAGTAAAAGATAAACTTTTGCAGACACATCAACTTTTGTGTGACGAAGTCTTTCGGACTCCTATAACTCTCAAAGGAAACATATTTTGACATCTTCTTAAATAACGCTTTGAAAACCTTTCATCATGAGTTATATATTGTTATTGACCTACAGGCTAAGGATTATGCAAAAAATCATGACTAACATGCAAAAAGGAACAATGTTTATAATAAATCTACATGCGATAACATTCGACAACATAAAAAGTAAATCAAACAAATCAAGTATACGTATTTACAGATGAACCAATGGTGAAACCGTTAGCACTCAGTTCATTTCCGATATATATTTTTTTTCCCCTATTACTACAATTACTCGTTTAGTGCCAATTGCAATAGCTTATCGTCAGGCTTTTTTTTTTCGATGGCATAAATTCTCTTAGGTATTTGCTGTGAACATGAGAAGCTGAACATTTCTTTGGCCTGTTAGATTTAGTTTTGATCAAGTATCCGTAGGCTAGTAGTTTTTTTTTATTTTGATTTGTAGAGAAGAGCTATGTACATATGAATTTGTCGGCATTTCCCAAAAAATATCATCAACGTGTTAATACGCAAGTTCGAAAAATGAACTACGAATGGGTGTTACGTGTGTGTGTATGTGAGTATGTGTGGTCTATCTGTATAAACAATTAAACTACAGAAAATGGCGATCGAGTTCAAATCAGCAGCGATTGAAAGTCAAAAAACGGTTCTACGCACGGATACTAGTTTGGATGTTATCATCTGCTCTATATGGGCCTGGAATGCGTTTTTCTATTTCTTGCTTACTTGCACGTTCAAATCTCTCTAGTACTCTTATTACTGTTGTTTTTTTTTTCGGGGTTTAATAATTAAGCTCCTATGATTCAAAACTGGCTAAAATGATTCTATGTAACTATCCAAAGTCTAAGGAAAAAGTGGAACGCAACAAATCAACAAACTAGGTTATGTAGAAATATAGAAACTCGTATGTATACAGACTATATGCAATAAGTGTTAGGAAAACTGTTTTATGTTGCACTCAGTCAAGTAGTTATTTTCGAAAAAGGATTAAAATGGATGGAAAAGAAATGTATTCAAATGTTAGTTGTTGTTTTTTGTTCACATGCAGTTACTTATAAGTATATAGAGAAAGAGTTGGGAACTTAGACTAATGTATGGGTATACTATTGGATTCACGAAAGAGAAATGGATGTTCTAGCGTGCAGCCAAGGCACGATGGTATAGGAGTTGAATGATGAAGTTGTATATTCTTATCAGTTCATTGTTTTTCAAAGAAAAGAAATACGAGCTATGTGGGAGTATAAGAGAGGATAAGGATTCGTGAATGTTGTAAGAAATTCAAAGAGATTACATAACTTTTATGTTCACCCTTCTTGGGTTTGAGTAACTGAAAGATTACAGTCGTTGTCCGAATGAGGTTTAAGCAATCCGACCAGGTTTAGATTTGCTGTATTCGGTTGCTCGAGGAGGAAAGGTTAAGTCATGGGTACCTAAATTAAAATACAGAACTAAGTTGGACAAAGAACTGAACATGAGTAAAAAGGCTTTCGATGCACCTGAGCCAGTACGACTAGCAGATGGGATCGGGGAGAATACAAACATATCATGTAACTCTGTAAACGATGTAAAAGTGTAAGATTGGTTGTGTAGGGGATTTTGTGTTTCGAGTTTCACTCCGCACGGTTCTAGAATTTAAAGATGCAGCACTAGAGAGGAGACCTAGAAATTATATTCAGAACATCCAAGTATCATTTTCAGAACAAAATGAGCTTGCATGTTATGTGCTGAAGGAATTGCGTTCAGTTATCTACCGACTGTGGAAAGGGATTTGATCGTAGTTTTACGTTTCCCAGCTACCAGTTTGTTTGTTTTGTTGTTTATGGGAATTTGTTTCTATAGCCTCATGCTCTTGCGACGGTTTACCGAAAAACTCTTTGCAGGATATTCAATAGAAACACGGCTAGTATGCTACTGACGCACATCTTCTCATTCAGACGGTTGGTGATAAGTAAGCTAGGGCTCGAGTTACACATATCTTCCTCACAAAAACACATATGACCATTGCCTGAACTTTCCATCATACACACATGATCTACCATAAATAGATTTATCTGTAACTGTGATGTGCACATTCGTCTTACAACTTCATAAGCTGAAATATTTGATGTAGTTTTATTTTAGCATTAGAGGTATATTTGATATTGCATTGTACAGCATTTCCGATCGGGTATTTATTTGCATAACATAGGATGAGGATAAAAAAAAATACGAATAACAACGGAAAAAATAGTTTGAATGTTTTTAATCCAACACGCAGGACGATGACCAGGAAGCGCGAATTACCAGTCGATAAAAATAAATAGAGAAGAAGAGAAAACGATTTCATTATTGCGGCTAATCAGGTGGAGGTTTACTAAATTTATGGAGTTTATTAATACATTAATTAATTCACAGCTACTAGTATGATGATGAAAAATAATATTTACCTAATGCATGACGTGATTGTCCAAGGTGACTAACGGATGTTACACAGTTGGAAACATACTCATAAATGTACCCTTTTTATCTCGTAATTTTGAAGTTTGAATCAATTTAATTTAATCAATGAGATAACATGGAATTATGAAAGACTTGTCCCGTGTGAGCAAAACTATGCACTGGCTGGAGTAACTGTTTACGCGGGAGATACGTATCGCGTTAGAAAAACGCGTAATTCCGTGTACTTTAACTAATCATGTTTGCATTCTCCATGCGTGAAGTTAACGGTTTACATAGTTGAAGATGCTTAACGTCAAATATCAGACTTAAAGTGGTCATTTTATACCATAGATGAGATCTATGACCTATGATAGGAGCATAGACAGCGGTAGAGGCAACAGTAGTTACAATTTCCAAACCTATCGACTATATGCTTACGTCATATGGCGACTTGAATGTGAAACAATCGTTAGAACTGTTTCCGGACATCTAAGGTACGTGAGCAAATCGGTAATCATCTCTTTTGCCAATGGTGGCGGGGGAGATACCCCTCACCATCCCTCCCCAACAGGGGAGATTGGTAAAGGAGATGATCAATCCGCTTTCTACTCTCTATAAAAAAAATTTCACACTGCCGTACTCTAACGGAACTATCAACTCTATACTTTCATCTCTTCATCTATCGTATAAAATGACCACTTTAATTCTGATATTTGACGTTAAGCATCTCGAATTATCCGTTCCTTCTAACAAATCAATGCATTTTGGCACTTGGATTGGAACGAATTTTGATAATCTGTTTAGTTTTAGCGAAAGTTAGTAACCGGAACTCTAATTTGAGTCAGACTCTACGGCCGTGTAGGAACCCGTCCAATATATACAAAATGTATACATCCATCTTAACGCAGACGGGCCCCGAAACATTCTTCACATGCATGGACCCCGGTTCCACGCGATAACCACAAAAAAACTGGCTTGAATGACCATATTTTCCTCCAGCCGATTCTAATATCCGCACAATAATTAGGTGTTGGGGACAACTGGAAAACGGAGTACCCCTATCCACTCCGCCGCCGCTGGACTCGCGGGTGACTGTTTTATCCGTCATCCATCAGATGTCAACAAAGCGCATAAAGAGTGAATGAGATATGTTGTCATCATGTATGTAAATAGAAGTGTTTTTAGTTCGTCATCGTAACAACGTGTTTTATTTTCATTCCGAGTTTCTAATTAGTTTTAATTTGTATTCGCGTCCAATGTTCGCGTATCGCGAGTTCGGCCACCACGTACGGGCGCGGGATACAAAAGTGGCGACTTCGGGAGTGCAAAAGTTGTGAAAAGTGGTGAAAATATCCCATCACAACGTTACCCACAGTGAAACGAAGAAGAATGGATGACAACTCGTTCGACGGGAATCCGGGTCCGATTCAGCCGGGAAATGGACAGCAGATGCCTACCGGGAATGTGCGACCGATTCCGCAGCAGCAACAGTTCAGAAATCCGCCTCCAGCCGGACAAGTGGACCCGTACCTGCTATGGTTTCAGCAGCAGCAGCAGGGTTATGTCACGGACCTTTTTCGGCAGCAGCAGGAGGTTATGCAGCAACAACAGCAAGCGTTTATGGCCCAGCAGGAGCAGCTGATTCGCAGTATAATGACATCGATCCAGGTGCAGGTCCCAGCAAATCCGGAAGCTGTTTTAGATTCCTTGGCGAACAATATCAAGGAGTTCAGATACAATCCCGACAGCAATGTTACGTTCGCTGCGTGGTATAGTCGATATGAGGACTTGTTCGCGAAGGATGCCAACCGACTCGACGGAGGAGCAAAAGTGCGCTTGCTGATGCGAAAGCTGGGGATGTCGGAGCACGAAAGATATATCAGCTTTATTCTGCCAAAGGCACCGAAAGATTTTGACTTTGCGGTGACGGTAAAAAAAGTTGACCAGCTTGTTCGGTGCTGCCGAATCTGTGATTAGCCGGAGGTATCGTTGCCTGCAAATCGTCAAGCAGCCACAGGAAGATTATGTGACGTATGCATGCCGCATTAACAAATCGTGCGTCGAGTTCGAGCTGTCCAAGCTATCGGAGGAGCAGTTCAAGTGTCTCGTATTCGTGTGTGGCTTGAAGTCGGACAAAGATGCAGATGTGCGGATGCGGCTGTTGTCGAAGATTGAGGAGCGGAATGATGTTACGCTGGAACAGCTGTCGGAAGAGTGTCAACGTTTGTTGAACTTGCGGCACGATACTGCGATGATTGAGGAGAACTCAATGTCTGTGAAAGCCTTGAAGACGAAGCAGTACCGTTTCAAGGGAACCTCGCCGTCGAAGTTCAACCAGTCCGGCAGTGAGAAGGGTAGTTGGAAAGCGAGCAGCGGGAAGACTAGTCCGGAAACAGCTTGTTGGCTATGCGGTGGCATGCATTACGCCAGGGAGTGCACGTACAAAAGCCATAAGTGCAGCGATTGCAGCCAGGTAGGCCATAAGGATGGCTACTGTCGGAGTGCAGCGAAGGTAAAATTCAGACGACGGAAGCCCAACGTTGCAGCGGCCAAGGTAGTGACTGTGAATTCGTGCAGTGTGCAGGAGCGTCGAAAGTACGTGCCGGTTGGAATCAATGGATTACCGGTGCGTATGCAAATCGATACGGGGTCTGACATCACGATAATTTCGTCGGATACCTGGTGCAAGATTGGCAGCCCTTCAACGTCTGCGTCGACGATCATCGCAAAGACAGCCAGTGGTAGGCCATTGCAGATTGAAGGTGAGTTTTCTTGTTATCTTTCCATTGATCGGCGAGTGTTGCGTGGCTTGATTCGGGTCACCAAGGAACAGTTACACCTGTTGGGTTCTGACACGATCGATGCTTTCGGATTGTGGTCGATTCCTTTCGATTCAATTTGCAACCAGATCAGCAGCACTCCGGCCAGTGTAAGCGGGTTAAAGGCAGAGTACCCGAATGTGTTTTCTGGCGATCTTGGGCTATGTAAGAAAACGAAGGTGAAGTTCCAGTTGAAGGCCGGAATGACCCCTGTGTTTCGTCCAAAGCGTCCGGTAGCGTATGCCATGTACCAGACGGTGGACGATGAACTAGACAGATTGGAGCGAAAGAAAATTATCGAACCGATAGACTTCTCGGAGTGGGCAGCTCCGATTGTGGTGGTTCGTAAGGCGAATGGTACGATTCGTATCTGTGGGGATTATTCAACGGGACTGAATGACGCTCTACAGCCCCACCAGTACCCTTTGCCTCTTCCGCAGGACATTTTCGCTAACCTAGCAAACTGCACCGTCTTCAGCCAAATAGATTTGACGGATGCGTTTTTGCAAGTGGAGGTGGACGAAAGTTCTCGTGACCTCCTGACCATAAACACGCATCGAGGACTGTACCGCTATAATCGTCTCCCGCCAGCGGTGAAGGCAGCGCCGGGAGCGTTCCAGCAGTTGATCGACACGATGCTGGTTGGCCTGAAAGGAGTGAGCGGCTACCTGGATGACATCGTTGTCGGTGGTACCGACGAAGAGGACCACAAGAAGAATCTTCGGGCGGTGCTGCAAAGAATCCAAGAGTTCGGGTTCACCATTCGTTCGGAAAAGTGCTCCTTTGGAGAAAGCCAGATTCGCTATTTGGGACATTTGCTAGATCGTCACGGGCTGCGACCGGATCCAGCAAAGATCGAAGTTATTCAGAAGCTGCCAGCGCCTAAGGATGTCAGTGGAGTTCGTTCTTTCTTGGGCGCCATAAACTATTATGGGAAGTTCGTGCCGAATATGCGTACACTGCGGTTTCCACTTGATGAGTTGCTGAAAGGAAATGGAGAATTCCGGTGGACAACCGAGTGTCAGCGTGCCTTCGATCGGTTCAAAGAGCTACTTGGTTCCGATCTTCTGCTAACTCACTACGATCCGCGACGAGAGATCATTGTATCGGCGGATGCTTCATCGATAGGCGTTGGTGCAACAATCAGCCACAGGTTCCCCGACGGGTCGGTGAAGATGGTTCAGCATGCGGCACGTGCGCTCACGAAGGCAGAGATGGGTTACAGCCAGCCGGATCGCGAAGGTTTAGCAGTTGTGTTCGCCGTAACGAAATTCCACAAAATGATCTTTGGAAGGCAGTTTCGCTTGCAGACCGATCACGCACCCTTGATTCGAATATTCGGTTCACGGAAGGGCATTCCCGTGTACACAGCAAACCGGTTGCAGCGATGGGCGTTAACGCTACTGTTGTACGATTTCTCCATCGAATACATTCCAACCGAGAAGTTTGGGAACGCCGACATCCTCTCAAGATTGATCAACAATCATGCCAAACCTGAGGAGGATTACGTGATTGCGAGCGTGATTTTGGAGGAGGATGTACGATTCATTGCGGACGAAGTGGTCAGCGGTCTGCCATTGAGCTTCAAGATTGTGGAGCAAGATACACAAGTCGATCAGCAGCTGCGCAAAGTATATCGCTACCTTCAAGAAGGATGCACAGAAGTGTCGACGATCGAAGATCCTGAGATTCGACGGTTCCATGGGCATAGAGATTCGTTGTGTTCTGTTGGGAAATGCATCATGTTCGGTGAACGCTTGGTGATTCCTGAGAAGCATCGACTGCGGTGCATGCGGCAGTTACACCAGGGACATCCAGGGATACAACGCATGAAGTCCATAGCAAGGAGTTATGTGTACTGGCCATCGATTGACGATGAAATCGTTGGGTTCGTGAAGGCATGCAAGCACTGCGCATCCGTGGCAAAATCTCCACCGCATTCCCCACCGGTTCCGTGGCCAAAGCCTAGTGGTCCATGGAAGCGTGTCCACGTGGATTATGCCGGCCCCATTGACGGAGTCTACTACCTGCTAGCCATCGATGCCCATTCGAAGTGGCCTGAAGTGGTGCCTACGCAACGAATAACACCCACAGCAACGATCAGCATTCTACGGAACATCTTCGCCCGCCTAGGAATGCCCGAAACGCTCGTTAGTGACAATGGTACGCAGTTTACGAGCAGCGAGTTCCAGAAGTTCTGCAGTGACAGCGGAATTGATAACGTCACCACGGCACCTTTTCATCCTCAGTCAAACGGTCAGGCTGAAAGGTTCGTGGACACATTCAAGCGGGCGCTGAAGAAAATCCAGGAGGGGAAGAACTGTGTTGGTGAAGCGTTGGACATTTTCCTTCTAACCTACCGTACAACGCCAAATCGTCAGGTCGAAGATGGAAAATCACCGTCCGAAGCTATGTTTGGGCGTCGCATCAGAACCAGTTTGGATCTACTTCGCCCTCCGCCGGCGCGTCCGCCAATAGAGCCTAATCCAGACGATGAAGTAAGGAGAAGTTTTTCTGCACACGATTCGGTCTACGCAAAGGTGTACAGCAATAATAAATGGCGCTGGGCACCAGGAGTCGTTTGCGGCAAGATCGGCAAAGTGATGTACACGGTCTGGGTTGAGGATCGTAGAATGGTTCGAGCACACGTCAACCAGCTGCGCAGTCGTGGTGGTACTCCAGTTAGCAATCGTACGTCACAATCGTCGGCACCATCACTCGACGTTCTGTTAGATGCGTGGAGTATTCCTAGAACCACGTTGGTACCGGCAGCACCATCTCCACTACCAGGACCATCGACTTCGCCGGATCTTCCGAATCCTCAGGCCCCGAATGCTGAGTCTACACCGTTGCCACCTGTATCGTCCTTGTCCTCGTCGTTAGCTACGTCTTCGTCCTCATCATCATCATCTACGTATACATCAGCAGCATCTCCAGAGTTCGCTTCAGCAGATAGCGGACCAGCTACACCGGTACAACTTCCACGCCGGTCTTCTCGTATCCGAAGGCCGCCGCAGTGGTTTGACCCGTACCACCTCTATTGAAGAGGGGGGATGTTGGGGACAACTGGAAAACGGAGTACCCCTATCCACTCCGCCGCCGCTGGACTCGCGGGTGACTGTTTTATCCGTCATCCATCAGATGTCAACAAAGCGCATAAAGAGTGAATGAGATATGTTGTCATCATGTATGTAAATAGAAGTGTTTTTAGTTCGTCATCGTAACAACGTGTTTTATTTTCATTCCGAGTTTCTAATTAGTTTTAATTTGTATTCGCGTCCAATGTTCGCGTATCGCGAGTTCGGCCACCACGTACGGGCGCGGGATACAAAATTAGGTATAGTTAACTTTTCTCTCATATCATATTCATTGTGCTTAGCTTCCACTTTCACCCACAAATCCCCACAATTCACTACAATCAGTCGAGAGTCAAGCTCAAACACCTAAACGGACCTGTCCAGAGGCGCCGGTAGAAACTTCCGGGAGGTGTTGGAAGAAACTTCCGAGGAAAGTTAAATGTAGTTTCTGGGCGATCTCCGAAAAAACTTCCCGTGGAAATTAGAAACACATCCATGGGAAGCCAGAAGAACTTTTAGGAAAGTCTACAGAAGCTGAGGGAAAACGGAACTGTCTTGTGGGGTAAGACAGATGAAACGTCCGAGGAAAAAAGGCAATAACATTGGAAGTCGGAAGACACTTGCAGAGGGAGAAGCTAGACGAAACTTTCGGGGAAAGTTGAAAGAAATATTCGAAGAATGTTGAAGGAAACTCTCGAGGGATGTTGGAAGAAACTTTTGTGCGAAATCAAAGAAACTTCCGGGAAAAATCAGATGAACCGGAAGAAACTTTCAGCGGAAACCGGTAGAAACATTCGAGGCAAGGTGACAAAAATTTTCGAAGGAAGTTGGAACATAGTTCCAGGAAATGTCGGACGGAATTCCGGGAGATTCAGAAAAAAATTATCTGGAAATTGTAAGGATGTTACAGAAAAAAGTTTACAGAGTTTTGCGGTGTAAGTCAGAAGGAACTTTGGAGCTGTTCATTAACCACGTAGACAGTTTTTTTTTTAATTCTTGAATTTTTAAATCGAGTTGCAAACTTGTGGTTGTTCAATGCTTGATGTTGCATTTTTGCAAGTTGAGCAAAAGCTACTCAAATAAAAGGGTATTTTGATGATGTTGAGCCTATTATAACATCAGCTCCTACTGGGTGTTGTCACATTCCTGAGTTTAACTGAGATAAAAATCCATTTCCGTAGACGCTAGACGCTGTTAGTTGTTGCAAAATTTAAGCTGCTAATTGATATGTGCATCTCTTAATAGATGTTACAGCTAATTGCGTCTGACAAATTTTATCCTTCGAGTAGATTGGTGTGTCTGCTCGATCCAGCTGATTCCAACAAAAATCAATCCCTTGAGCGCATTGGAACACCTTTGAGTATATGCAAGAATGGTAAAGAGTTAAGCTGGGCTTAGACAAGACAAGTCATTGATCAACTCAGCTGAATTCAATTGGCTTGAAAGGTTGGGCCTGGTTCAACTTTTTTTCAATTCAGTGAGTTGATCAAGTTAGTTGAATGGCAAGGTTTCAACTGAATGGTCAATTGACTTGCCTTGTATAAACACAGCTTTAAGAAAAGATAACGTTTTTTTTTCTGAACACTTCTAGTTATTGTTCCTTATTGTGTTCTTCATTAGCTCAGAAAACTAACTAAATGATAATTTGGGAGAATGGTCTTGCTTGGGAGGATTTTTTTTATTGCTTGGAGTAGCACTTTTATGATTGAATAATGATTCAAATGTACGTAGACAAGCATTGCCTTGACAGCACAGAGTGGCTTTATTGAGTATTCTAGGTCTTCATTAAAAACCAGTGAAGTTTTAGAATTGCAATATTGCTGCTATTGCAATGATGTAATTAATTTACAGAATGTTGGGGGTGAAAGCGCTATTTTTACGATTTTCCACTGGAGGAATCCGCCCGCGAATTAGCTTGTGGTTAAGCGTATTATCCGGAATAGTTTATTTTTTAATTTTTTTTATAGTCACTTTAACACTCTTGGGTCATTTGTAACTTGTCCGGGGTGAGATTTGAACTCGTGACTTTGGCGTGAGAGGTATAGATGTTAACCACTACGCCGGGGTCGCCCCTGATAATTTTCTTGTGGAGCGTGGTCTTAAAATATGCTCAAGGCAAAACAAATATAGTGGGATTAAAAACAAATGTTTCATATGTAAAATGCAGAGTGACCAGTGAACCGGTGAAACTGGAAAAAAGCTGGGAATTCGAAGTCACCGGGAAAAAAACCTAAAGATGACAAATCTGGAAAAATATAACTCGTCCTCTCTTGGAAAACAATAAGATTTCAATTTAGACTGTTGGAGTAGACTAGACTTTCAGGATGCAGTCACTTTGAAGAACCATTAAGAGAATCTTAGATTTTTTTCCAAACAAATTTTAGAATGAATTCTAAAGATAACATCAAGATATTTTAAAGGAAATTTTTTTAGGGAGTTTTAGTAGAGTTTTTACTAGAACTCCCAAGGGTGAAGTGGATTTCAGGATTCATGAAAAATACCAAGGGAAGCTTTTTTTAACTTTATTAAGGAGATTTTTAGCTATGGGCTTGTTCATCTCCGTGCCAAGCGAAGCTAATTTTGAGGGTACAATTCCAAAATAATTCTGCGATCTATAAGGAAATTCAGAGCGTATTCCAAGCGCATTTCGAATGGAATTCCTAAAGAATTTTAATGAGATTTCCATGCAATTTCCAGAAAAAAATTAGAGGAGAACTCCAAGATAATTCTGGGCAAAATTTGAAGCCAATTCTCGGCATGAGAATTTCCCCTCTTCGATGGTGTTGGCAGGAAAGGGGGAATACAAGTTTTGCTCATAAAACCTAATAGCCTCTTTGGCTTGCTTCCGGCTTCGTCCGGATTTTTTTTACGGAGTTTCTTTTGACCCAGAAAATATTTCCGAATTCTCCCAGAAGTTTTAGAAATTATCATCTGATTTCATCGGAAGCTTCTTGATTAGAAATTGAATACCAAATTGATTCACCGTTAAAAACACCAGAAAAAGGGGTCCGTTTATGCATCTTCCAAATTAGATACCTAGTTTCATGAAACTATGTTGAAATTAAATCATAAGTTTAAATCAATCATGAAAAATAAACAGTACAAAATTTTCTAAGGCAAGACGACAATTTTTTGCCCAGAATGATAATGAATTCATACACCAAACTCAATAAAAAAAAAGTTCTAATACTCAATATGGTAGTGGTATCTGTATATGGGAGGAACTGGGTGTACAAACAGCGCAACATTGAAACGGAAAACTAAAACGAAGAGGGTAGAAAAGATAAACGAAAATACAGCGAACTTAAACCTAACTAAATCATATCGACATCGATGAACTTGATGGGTAAATACACTATTTTACAGAACTTGGGTGGGTGGGGGTAGTTTGTTGGTACTTTTTCTTCGATTTCGAATGCGGTTGTTTCTACTTACGCGTCCGCGAGTGTCGCACCATCTTGACGCAACAGCCGTTGCACGTCATCAGCGGAGGCTGATCGCGGGGAAGCGCTGTGTAGTTGAATGGATCCTTGCAGCGGGCGTCCGTCCAACTGTCGCACTCGTAACAGTAGATTGATCGGGCTTTGGTTTTTTTTTTGTTGGTGATGGTAATAAGGAAGAAATATGTTAGAAATGTACAATTTTTTGCCATCTTCCACACCAAAGTATTTAAGCATAAAAGGTGAAATTTTCTGGGTGCTTGTTGTTCACTTCATCTTCTTATGCATAGGGTATCATACAACTACTGACATACCAACGACGACAATATTCGAGCTATCCTGAAGAAGTAACAGAATGTTTACACAGTTATGTATATTATTTAGTAGCTATTCTACTTAATTTGGGCATTCTCTATCTCTCTAATTAATCTCACATCCAACTCATCATCACTCAAACACAGCATGAGCATGTCATGAATGTCATAGAAATTATATGGGGAAAATACGTCGCGACATTTTCCCCCCATACGTTTCCATAGTGACATTTGTAAAAAAAAAAACATCGTTACCACCTCTACCCAGGATGCAAATTAGGGTATTTATTTTCGTAAAATCAAGAAATTTCATCAGTGAAGAAATTATCTTTAGGAATTCCGGTTAGCTATTCAGGAATCAGGAAATTTATTAACCTACCAAAGCAACCAAAAAACTCGCTTCATACCTATTAGTCGTATATCAGTCATATATTTCAAAGAGGGTTATTAACGGGCTTGCTATTATTTTGTGTTGGGGCCTCATAGCCTAGTCAGTAAAGGCACGATATTACCAAGCCGGAGGCGGCGGGTTCGATTCCCGGTTCGGTCGAGGGAATCTTTCGGGTTGGAAATTTTATCGTCTTCCCTGGGCATAGAGTATCATTGGGCTTGCCACACAATATACAAATTCAGCTATTAACACTTATCAAACCATAGAAAGAGATATTTTCTGCAATCTGAAAATTTTGATTATTCAAAATTTGCTTCAAAAAAATCTGTCCAACCTTTCGCTGTAGTAGTTGGAAAATTAAGTTGGAATGTGGAAAGTTTCAAGTCAGTGTGTACTGCGTTCCGTTCTTATTTTTCATGTCCGCGATTTGACCAGGTTCCTGGTTCTTATGCCGAAATTGAGCTTCTGGGAAGATTTTCAGCTAAATCGTTAAAGATTAAGAGGTGCTTGTGCAGTGCAGTGCAGTGTGTTTTGACGTAGACTACGTCTTACGAGAAGGTAGGTACTGGGGGTAAATCGAAAATCTAAAATTGCGACCGTCACGAAAAGGTGTAACGTTTTGAACGCAGTACACTGTGTTTTTCTTATTGACGACGCACACCGGGTTTTTTTTTAATCTAGCTGTCCAAAAAAAGAATTTTTAAATAAACCAAAATTGAATCTAAACTGTAGCATTGTATACTCAAAGGATAATAGAACAATGTTCTATACTTTTTTTTTATTTATTAGTCAATTCAAATTTCTCTGTTTTTGAATCGTATAGATTCACTCAAAGTGGTCGTTTTAATTTTCTTGCTTCTGTTTGCTGTTGTGATGATTGAATTTGTTTGAAATAAATGTACATTGATCAAGCAGATATTGAAGTATTTATTCCACAGGATATCAGTAGATTTTGCTAAACTTTGACTTCGTTCAAGTATTTTACCAATTTAACTGTTTTTTCAGCTATGACTGCAATGGTAAAATAGTTAACATATTCTGTAATGTTCTGTGATATCTTATATTGAGCATTACCGGCACGTGTGTACAGAAGATTTTAGTGAACAAATTAGCTGCGATTATTTGCGATCTTTCGAGACATTGTAACATAAAGATATCGAGTCAATATAGATAAATCTAACACAAAAGCATCTACAAATGCTTTTATTGACCCTAACCTTTGCATGAAATTTCACAGATCGTTTTTTAATGCTAGTCATGAAGATTTGCACATGCAATTTGATAAAAAAAGGGGGGAGTCATGTCTTTAGAGTATGGAGGTTGCCTTAAAGGTAGCAAGGGACCTATTTTGGATTTCGAATAAAACTATCGAAAAATACAAACTTATGGCAGAAGATCAACATAATTTATCATATTTTAAGTGCTTGAAGTACAATTTTTTTATATGAATCATCCAAAAATACCGTAACACTTTGTATAGACAGTGCTTTGTATACGTATAGGACAGAATAAATTATTTAAACAGAGTTTAAGGTAGCACTTCAGGAGGAGGGGTAAGTATAGTTAGTGAATTCAAGTTTTTTTTTTACATTTTACAATACATCATAAATGTTCGCACCTCTTAAGTACCCAACAGGAAACCTTTCGTGATGTAATTTATGAATAACGCCATATACATTGCATATACATATAAGTTAATATGTGTTTTATTCCTTTATTTATTTTTGTAGTCCACTCAATTGATGATCAAACAAAGATGTACTTCCCCGAAAAGTTCTGTAAAAATACTTCTTACAGTTTCAGGTAATACATATTGTTCGTTTTTTTCCAAAATCTGGATGCAGTTATTTGATACACATTATTTAACACCGCGAAAAATGTTGCATGTGCAATTATTACTGAAATAGCTTGGTTGATTTCATTTGATCATTAGATGTATATAACATGTAAAGTTTTTGAACAGAAAAGACAACAAGTACACCAAATTACATAATTTTGATAGGTCTCATAGGCCCCGGGACATGCAATATACCGTGACTTCTGGGATTCATGTACTATAGATGCAAACTATCTAAAACTTTTATTTTAATTTCAGCAGAACAGGCTTATATCAAGTAAATGTTTATTAAATGCTTCAGATGCTACAGATGAGTGCGTGTAACCTTATTTGCTAGTTCAAACTGACAGGTCAGTAAAAAGTGTTTCCTTGAGATGGGGATGAAAACAATAATAATTTGATTGTATACAATGTAAGCGGTAGCATTGTAGCTTTCATCTTCAGGCGGCTTTGACCCTAGAAATTCCTGTTAAATATAGTTATATAGCCATTCCATAGCAAAACATTTCAATTGGCAGTTTTGTTCCTTTTCGAAAAGTATTAGACCCGTATTTTTTTATTTTCTCATTAGGGTAACCATTTTCCTGTAGGGTGGTCCAAAAAATCGATTTTTTCTATTTTTTCCAAAAATGGAATTTTTAAAAAAATCATAACTTTTGAACCATTGACCCGTTTTGAATGATCAAAATATCAAATGAAAGGTTATTAAAAATACTTTTAAAAAAAATATGATTTTTTTGTTGGGAAAAAATTGGAAATTGGAGTTTTGTATAGAAGAACTTTGCTTGTATTTGTTTTTTTTATGGTTTTCATGGTTTGTACACAATGGGCGTGACACGTTTTTTTATTATTTTTTTTTTGAAAATTTAGGCTTTTCTACACAACATATCAAAAAATTAGCAATGTATTTTTCTTCGTTTTTATGTTCCGATTTTTTGAAATTATCATGTGTAGAAATTTCGCTAATTACTCCAATACGACTAGATTACCCTGCGTCTCCATTGATACATATCGAATGTAACATGGTTACATTACTTACTTATTTCAATTTCTGATCCTAGACTACCATGACATTCATAGAAACTTGAATCAAATTTATTGATTGCTTTTGCGTGATGTGTAAATAATAATTACTACAGTGATTCATAGCATAGGAATTCAAATAGAATATATTTATATTAAATTTGGGTAGTACATCTTTCACGGACTGTTTAGAACTCCATATCTAGTCCATATTTGGACTAGAATCAATGCTTTGATAAGACAATCTTATGGTTTCCAACTATGCACATGGCTGGTTTGAAATAAAATTCATTATTTTTTTTTATTTTTTTATTTTTTTATTTTTGTTCTGTGCCATTTTTGAAAAAAATAGAAAAAAAACGATTTTTTGGACCACCCTAACAGGAAAATGGTCACTCTAATGAGAACATAAAAAAATACGGGTCTAATATTTTTCGATAAGGAACAAAACTGCCAATTGTTACGAAATTCTGAGAACCACTATATCGTTTTGCTATGGAATGGCTGTATCCACCTCTCACTTACCTCGTATTCTACTTGCCCCAATGTTCATTATCTCAAAGAACAGAACATGATGCAGTCTTTAGCAAAATTGTTTCTTATGGTATAAACAAATAGTCCTGAAATTCTAAGCTAAATCGAGTATAATGAACCAATTCAAAAGGGGTATCATTTTCTCATACATGTTGACCAAAAACCCCATAAAAACTTTGAACCAAAAACGCCTGCTCATCAAAGTTTTGAACCAAAAACGCCAAACTTTTAGAGAGTGGTTTTCTCACCCAAAGACACAATTCTGGGGTCAGTTTTCTTGTTAATTGAAAGCTTTTTTGGCCTGTACCATTTTTGGTATTCGTATTCGCAAACCCGAAATATGCCTTGACCTGACCGGGAATCGAACCCACCGCCTCTACCATGGTTTTACTTTACATGGCTTAAACTGTCTACGTTGTTAATGGACAGCTCCTTACCGGCTGAGCTAAGCTAGACACATTTTTATACTGCTTATTAATTTGGTGCTAGGTAAAATAAAAAAAAATATAAATGATAGTTTGTACATTCTAGTTTACCGGGTAGGAATCCGTATTGCCGAAGATAGTACTTAATCTACTATCCCCTTATATTTCAATATAATATGCGCTCTCTATTCGAAAAGATTTATCGAATTTTCTTCGTTCGCATCCAGACGATCCAACCTCATTCGGACACCCGCACTGTCTCAAATCAAACACATTTGTTTCTCTTTCAGCCGGCGCAAGCGACTTCTTCAACCAAACAAATGTCTCGAAGCACTCGCTCTTATACACACTTCTTTTATTAACATCCGCAACAATACGTACGCTGCATACATACAAACACTTACAGGAGCAAATCATCTACAGCTTCGCTATTATAAACAGGCAATTTATAAACAAATTTAGCTGATAAACAAATCAATATGACCAATGGGGGCGATGGAGGAAAGCGAAAACGGAGTGAGAAAAACACGATCTGAAAGCAACACATCAGCTGCCACGCCAATTCGGGACACTTTAGCCGGAATGTTGCAAATGAAAAGATGCAGTTGGTTGGGCGGAAGACAGCTAGAACATAAGAAGTGGTGGGTACGAAAATTCAATTTGGGGTGATGAATCGAAGCGAATAAAGCTGTACCTAGGTAAATACGCTATTCGCTTCTACCACTAAAAGAGCAGTAGTGCTAAACTACGATGGAAACATAGAGAAGCCATGCACTCGAGCACTGGGGTGGGTGGTGGATGTGCGTGTGTGTTAAATTAATAGGTTAGATAAACTGGCTTACTTTGGCACTCGGCTGACACCTGTGGAATCCAAAACCAAAACACTCCTACTAGCGCTGGGATGGAAGCGGTTTTTTTTAAGGTGAGGGAAAAGAGAAGAAAAGTTTGTGTGCTGTAAGCAGTCTGTATAGTTTAGTAGTTAGAATAGTAATTTGTGGAATTAGTGGTGCGAAAACTCGGAACAATATGTAGTTTTGCGATTGCAAGTTAAGTTTTATGTGCACGTTTTTTTTTTTCATCTCGTATAAATAACGCAATAAAAGTTTATTAACCATACATGAACCATAGAGTAGTTGTTTGAGTAACGCTTTTATTATCTTAAACCTACAACTGAATGTTAAGTTGAGTTTAAGTGTTAAACATGTTTTATCAATTTCCTGTAAAAACTGAAATGTTGGAAACAATTTAAAAAAAAATAGCTTCATCGATGTTTTGCGAATAAAACCCAAATTGCATCCATTCCTCGTTTCTACAGCTTCGATGCGAGCGTTTAGATAACCAAGTTATATAGGCTTTACTGGGTATTAATAAATGCAGACATAAGCAACATAAGTAATCAAAACATACGAAATAATAATGATAAATAGCTCAAATTAACTACACAAACCATCAAAGTACTGGAAATTAAACAAACTAAGGAAACTTACACGGAAAACAGTTATCGGCTGAACTCAACTGAACAAATGCAAAGATGATCACTGTGAAAAAATATGAGATAAATGAGAATGAAAAAAAAAAAATAACTAAAGGGAATAATATTAAAAAAAATATATAATTTACTACCATATTTGTGAGATTTAACCTTAGTGATGCCATCATGATCAAAATTCAAAATAAAAATAAAAATAAATCAATTTTCTCCAGCTCGTTGTATCTTAGAGGTTTGTCGACTTGAACAAAGTTGTGGATCATATTTTTTTTTAAATGTCTGAATACATACAAGTTCTGCGAATTTAAGTAACTGAGATATAAGGAGTATTGGAAAATTTATCTAAAATTTACGTTTCTTTTATCATTTTTCAATTTATTTAAGAGTACTGAAAATAGAATAGCACTAAAAAAAAACTGACATTCAGAAATAATTTTCTCAACAAAGCTTAATGTTGGTACCAGGGTCATAAGTTGATAAGTCGATAGGTAGGGTCCAGGTATGGGAGTTGCCTCCCTGGCGTCGGTAGCATTGGTACTCAGTACGGAAAACAAGATCGACGGAAAACAAATCAAGAAAGAGAAAAAGAAAAGCTCAAGTGAACGCAAAATTTTATCAGTAATACAAAATGAACATTGACTACATTCCATCAAATAATCTCAGAGGTATATTCAGATATATTTGAGATATTCGGATTTGGAACAAGCAGATCAGTATGTGTAATATTATGAATCGCACCGGTCAATGCACCTTTGTTTTGGGAAATGCTCCTTAATATACTTGGCGCATGTTTGAGGAATTTATTTCTGATATTTCTGAAAATTTTGAGTGTTATTTATTTTGTACTACTCTAAAACAAATTACATTCTTCAAGAAAAATCCGAAAAAAATTACCTATAATTATAGACGAAAAATGATAAAAGTATTCATTTAAATGAATTTACAGCAATTAGTTCTAAAATCGTAAATTTCAGATAAATTAAAAAATCTCTATATTGTTGCGCCATCTATACGGCAATAATTTCAACTATGTTTTTCCTCCAAATTATAGTCCTTACAAACCCAAGAAACTTTGCTGAAGACATACACTTTATCGGATGCAATTCCAGAGCGTTATTAATTTATTCCTGCTAGATTACATTTCTAGCTCACTGTTCAATGGGGACACAATCAGTTTCTCTTCTAAATGTGTCATTCGACCACCAAACCAAATAATTATTTTCAATACATTTGAATAATCATGCCAAAGCCCATTGATCAGGGTCTACTACCCTTGGGGGCCCTGGTCTAGTTTTTATGGTGGGACCCCGTATTTGTTTTAATTTTTCAAATTCTATCTTCCATGATATAACAAGACTTAATAAATCTTTTTCGTTTGATTTTTTCTCCGAACCTGGTTCTAATCTAAAATACATTCAATCTTACTAAGCTAAATTCGTAAACGACTTCTCATGCTAGCGAATGGGTTAATAAAAGTGTTGAAATCAATTTTCATCAATATTTCGCAATAAATAATAAATTAAGTCTGGATCACAGCATCCCTTAAATAATTTTGCACTAATTTTAATTAAGTTGGTGGTCTTCATTGCATTAAATATCCTGTGTAATTATCACATTTGGGAAAACCGATTACAGTGCATATAAGGGTGTCCCAAAATTGCACTATGCCTGGAAATCTGAGGGCTCACCCTCCAAATGATAGCTAAGGGTGTTACAAACAAACTTTTGTATGGCGACAACTCTGGGAAATGTTGTTTAGAGGTCGCCCAGAAGAGATTTTTGAAAAAAGTCCATTTTTCATAGCTATTATCCAATAAATATTTTTAGTTCTTTGAATTTCAGTTAAATCTCACCCTTTTATATTTTTCGCAGATTCCCAAGGGTCAAAACTATAAGAGAAAAAATTGTTACGACATGTTCTGTGTCTAATTTGTTAGTTACAATTTTTCAAATTCTCTAAAATGGCGTTTTTTGTTGTACATCACTGCATTCAATCATCAAAAGTGGGTATCAAACATAGCGCTATTATCAAACATGTAGTTAAAAATGGGATTTTTTAGAAAAATCACTTGATAACATTTGTTTCAAAGTTTCTAGAATTCCATAGGAGGATATATGAGCGGAGCGGGATCACACAATTTATTAGTTTCCATTTGATTGCCGTAGCAAGCAGAACCAAAAAAGAAAATCATGTCACCAAAAACCAAGCTCAAGTCGGATCTCATCACCGGTATTGCGAGGAAGCATTTTCCCAGAAACCGTTTGCCGTCGGAGTTGGCCGTCATCAGGTACTTTCGATTCAAGATTGAAACCCAACAACTTTCAATCGGAAAAAGCATTCAAGTTGTGGCTACCGAAGCTGCTTGCATATCAATGGTACACTGCTTGAGAAGCTTTTCGGAAACTCAACCGGAACTTTGTTTGTCACCTGCTGGCTCCAGAATTCTGCACGGACAGTATCGTTTCGTAGCTCTTCATCGATGTGGTTCACGCTTATGTTGAAGAAGTAACTCAACCGCATCCTACACATCTTCAAAGCTGGCAATAGCTCTGATTTTTCTTCTTGAAGGCCTTACTTTGGCGTTGCCATGTCACAACGAGCTTGGCAACCCTCCTAACAACGTTCCGCTTGAGCTGGTGCGAAAGTCCGGCTTGATTCCAAATATCCACAGCTTCGGTAGCCACAACTTGAATACTTTGTCCGATTGAAAGTTGTTGGATTTCATGCTTGAATCGAAAGTACCTGATGATGTCCAACTCCGACGGCAAACGGTTTCTGGGAAAATGCTTCCTCGCAATACCGGTGATGAGATCCGAGTTGAGCTTGGTTTTTGGTGACATGATTTTCTTTTTTGGTTCTGCTTGCTACGGCAATCAAATGGAAACTAATAAATTTTGTGTTCCCTCTCCGCTCATATATCCTCCTATTGAATTCTAGAAACTTCAAAACAAATGTTATCAAGTGATAACAAAGTAGGTGATTTGTATTTATCGATTTCAATGATAGTTTGATTTGCTGATGGGGACATACTGCAATATTGAAATTCTGAACTTTTCTTTCCACAGTAAATCACGAATAACTTTTTAACGGTTGAAAATGAGGTTAAAGTCTCTTCAGCAAAGTTTTTGCTTATAAAATTTCCCATATTTTAACTGCATTTGATTGATAATAGCGCTATGTTTGATACCCACTTTTGATGATTGAATGCAGTAATGTACAACAAAAAACATCATTTTAGAGAATTTGAAAAATTGTAACTAACAAATTGGACACAGAACATGCCGTAACAATTGTTTCTCTTATAGTTTTGACCCTTGGGAATCTGCGAAAAATATAAAAGGGTGAGATTTAACTGAAATTTAAAGAACTAAAAATATTTATTGGATAATAGCTATGAAAAATGGACTTTTTTCAAAAATCTCGTCGGGCGACCTCTAAACAACATTTCCCAGAGTTGCCGCCATACAAAAGTTTGTTTGTAACACCCTTAGCTATCATTTGGAGGGTGAGCCCCCAGATTTCCAGACATAGTGCAATTTTGGGACACCCTAGTGCATATGTATATCATTATTTATTTTGTACAGCAAATGCTAGTTATGCTAAAAGGTTGAACTTTATGATTAATTTTAACAATGTTATGTTAGTTCATCATAAGTGCAACTTTAGAGACTATTTTTAAAATGTCGAGGAAAGCATTTTTTTTTTGAACGACAGATGAAAAAGTTAAACTCCGTTTTTTTTTTTCAAATATCGCCCAAATTAAGACAAAATTGAATAAATCAGCATTACAACTCATCTACTTCTGGCTTAAAATTCGTGCTGTTGCGAGATGATTTTCTAGTGCTAGTGCATCGGAAGAACTTTATACAAAACTTAACCAAACGTACACATTACAGAATTCATTTAAATGTAGATCACAAACTTCACCAACGTGGGTATTTCAAAAGCTGTATGAAACCGTTTACCAATATCTTATTTTAATTTAATCGGAAGGTCTGGTCGGAAGGTGGACCTGGTTGATGCAACCCTAAAGAGTCGAAATCATAGATTTTCACATACATTATAATTGATGCCTCTGAGCCGGGGCCCCCTTCAAATTGGAGGCCCGGGCTTTAGCTCACCATCACCCTACCGTTAATACGGCACTGCCAACGATAGACCATATCCGAGTACCACCGCTTTCGCATTTAAACATTTTGCGAACACTCAAACACTTCTAAAATCTCGATTTAGATCTTATTTACGGAGATTAACGCATTTAAAGATTTTGAACACATAAATAAAACTAAAACCGCGTTTGATGCCATTTTTAAGTAGACAAATGCATCTAACGATGTATACACCAAACACCAAAATCGTGATTCGTCCTTATTACCTTTGATATTATCTGTTTCTTTGGTAACAAAACACGCCGAAAACGGTCGCCATACAAATTCCTATGGCGACGATTTCTGCGTCGTTTTCGGCGTGTTTTGTTAGCATAGAAACAGATAATACCTTGTCGGTTTTAAAATTGGACTCAACACGTCTTTCCGTCTGTGACCTATAATCAGCCACACACACATTTCTACCATTTTCAAATATTATCAATTGATCAGTCTTGATCAGGGGTTGAAACAGTTGACGTTTTTTACTACACTCGCTTCGTTGTCGTGCGCGACAGTCTGTTTTTATTTGAACACTCATGCTCTACCGTCGTCTCTCTCACACAACACGAGAGGTAGAATAACATTCGAGCTAAAAGAAAATTATCAAAATAGCTATCATATGACATGTGTGATTTCGTTGTAATTCCTCAATTTGGTGTAAATCAAACCATTTCTGATCAGAAATATTATTACTAGGACATCATTGCTTGCTATTTTCAGAAATCACTTAAGCACACCATCAGCAGCTCTTATTATGAGAAAAACTAAAATACATACATTCGTGACGGTCTTCGGCGACAGTGTCGTATGACAGAGCCTGTCATATGACATTTTAGTTTGGTACTGTACTATGATAGCTTGTTTTGCAAGTGTCGGAGGCAAAGGCAGTCAATTATCACA